ACCATTCTGGAGAGTAATTTGGAAATAGGCCCAAAGGGCTATAAAGCTGTAAATACCCTTTGATCCAAAAATGTCACTACCAGGTCTGTGTCCCAAAGGGATCATAAAAGAAAGGGAAAAGGACCCACATGTACAAAATATTTATAGCAGCCCTTTTGTGGTGGCAAAGAATTGGAAATTGAGGGGATGCCCATCAGTTGAGGAATGGTTGAACAAGTTGTGGTATATGAATGTAATGGAATACTATTGTTCTCTAAGAAATGATGAGCAGGTGGATTTCAGGAAAACCTGGAAAGACTTACATGAACTGATGTTGAATGAAGTGAGAGAACCAGGAGAACATTGTAAACAGTAACAAGAATCCTGTTGCTGTCAACTATGATGGTCTTAGCTCTTCTCAGCAATATGGTGATCCAAGACAATTCCAAAAGACTCATGATAGGAAATGCTACAACTAGGTGGCGCAGTGGATGGAGCACCAGCCCTGAAGTCAGGAGGACCTGAGTTCAAATCCAGCCTCAGACCAAACACTTGACACTTACTAGCTGTGTGACCCTGGGCAAGTCACTTAACCCCAGTTGCCTAAATAAATAAATAGAAGAATAAGTAAGTGAATAAATAAATAAATAAAAGTAGAAGATGCTACGCACATGCAGACAAAGAACTATGGAGTCTGAATGCAGATTGAAGCATACTATTTTCACTTTTGTTGTTTTATCTCTCCCATTGTTCTTCCCTTTTGTTCTTATTCTTCTTTCGCAACATGACTAATATGGAAATATGTTTAACATGATTGTACATGTATAACCTATATTAGATTGCTTGTTGTCTTGGGGAGGGGGGAGGGGGGAGAGAGAGTGGAAAAAATGTGGAACTCAAAATTTTACCAAAATGAATGTTGAAAACTATCTTTACATGTAATTGGGAAAAACTAAATATTTAAGTGCAAAAAAAAAGAGCACTATCCTCTGAGTGAAATAGGGTGTCTCAGAGTTAACTAGTTCTTGAAGTATGCAGACCATCTTTTAATGCCCTAGTTTCACTTTTTGAGAAAGTAATATGGTAAAATCCATCTGAGGAATGAATACCTTGCATCCTCTTTTTCTCTAGGTAATGAAGGATCCCTAAAGTTTTACACCTTCACTACTAGTGATTTTTTTTTTTACCATTTTTCTACCATCACTGTTCCTCCTGATCCTCCCACACTCTCAAATGCCTAGTAGAAGGATAAATATTAGATCATTTTGCCAAAAAATACTGGTTTATATACTCATTGAGCTGGATTTGTGTCCTCTCCGATCCATACTTTGTTCCAGTGACAGAGCTCTAGGTTACCCCACTACAGTGCAATTGAGTTTATCTTCCTATCAGTGCTCACTTTATTTTTGGAATTTTCATACACATTGTTATCAGCACTCTTCATCTAGAGTGAATTTTTTTTCTTATAATTTTTAGCCAGATGAGGTGATGCCTGCCTATAATCCCTGCTGGGAGGCTGAGGCTGGTGTCTCACTTGAGTCGAGTTCCAAGGTCCAGTAGGGCCAGAGTCAATCAGGTGTCTGCAATGAATCCAGCATCAATATTGGGAGCCATGGGAGCAGAGGGCCTACCAGCAGGCTGATGCCGTAGGAGGGGAGAAAGTAGCCCAGGTGGGAAAAAGAGAGTATGTCAAAACTTCAGTGCAAAATATATTGGGATTTGGCCTATGAGTGGCAGCTATACTTCCAGCCTGGGCAAGATAGGGAGACACAGTCTCAAAAAAAAAAAAAATTATAAAGAGGACAGGTTCTTCCTTACTTTGAACTTCTCTTTTTTCAAAAGACCTATTTTTTTTTTGTGGCAGAATAGTAAAAACTGTTTCCATTATAACTGTAATAATGCTTTCACTTCATAGTTCCTCTAAGAAGGTCCTGGGAGGACATTACTATTAAATAGTCCATAAAATATCCCATAAAGACACAAGCAATTTTGTTTTGTTTTGTTTTAACATAAAAACTAAGGGCAGTATCAAGGAAATAAAATTACTCCTTCAAGGTCATATAACAAGCTTCAGTCCGACTTGGACCAGGTCCAGGTGTTGCTAGCTCTGTGTTTTATTCTCTCTCTTTTTTTTTGTTCTTTTTGATGAGGCAGTCAGGTTTAAGTAACTTGCCCAGGGTCACACAGCTAGTTAAGTGTCAAGTGTTTGAGGTCACTTTTGAACTCAGGTCTTCCTGACTCCAAGGCCTGAGCTCTATCCACTGCGCCACCTACATGCCCCGCTCTGTTTTATTCTTACTTTTAGATGATAAGATATTTCAAACTGAGCTTGTCTAGTGGACAGCATCATTTTCATAAAGATAAAAGTTTATATTTTGGATCTAATACTGTCTAAAGTCAACTGTTAAAATTAACAACTTGACCTGTTTAAGCTACTTAAAAGTTAGTATATTCTTTAAAGTTCCGTATATTCTAAGAATTAGTTTTCACTGACAGTGGCACTTGTATATAGTAATAACTTACAAAGCCAGAGTGAGATTTAGACATATCTAATCAGAGCAAGGGCTACCTTGCTCCTGTAATTAATAAATTATATCTTGTTAGTCTATCTTGTACCATTTTATATTCACAGGTATGCAAATACTTTTTAAAAGTATACATATTGGAATTTATATTTTTAACTGTTTATTAAAAGTTATAGTACCAAAATTGATTTTTATATTTTCCTTAAATTCCTCTCTAATATTTTTATGACTAATCTGCTCCAAAACTTCTACAAAATACAAAGTGTGTAGCGTATCAGTAGACTTCCTTTTTCTTTAAAAAGTTTAAGGACAATAATTAAAAAGCCACGTTCAATAATTATCTTCATATGATAACATATATAGGGAAAGTCCATTCTTTCTTCTCCCCTACTCTGTCTTCTTTCTATCACATCCCTGATGTCTAGTTTCTCTTTCCCTTCTCTCTCTTCTTCCTAATTTATTTACTCACATTTATCACTTCCCATTTTTTATCTCTTTCTTCTCTTCTGTTATCCAAAGGGGTAGCTCCTTTAAGAAGCCCTCTGTCCATCCTCCTTCCCCACCTAAAGACTCACTCTTCTCATAGCCCCATGCCCCTCGTGTTGTTATTTATCTCTTTACAAGAATGTTGGGTTTTTCTAACTCAATTATTGCTTCCTCAAAGGGTAGGAACCAAGCTTGATATCTCTTCATATAACTAGCACCTAGTTTGATGATGACGGTGATGATGATTTATGTACAGGTGTGTGTTATGTATTTTGTGTTGAAATGCCAATATATATGTGTAAGTGCTATTCTTTTGTAGGTAGTTTTTTCTAAATTCCTTTAATATTCAGTCCTCTCTTCTTAGTTTAATCTTGTCATTTCCTAGTTTTATATTTATGAAGTTTCAAATCACTTTTCATTGAGAGGAATCCCTGTTTATAAGACTCAAAGTCAAAAATACTGCATTTTAAGATTTTATCATCTCCATGGTCTTTTGGAGGTTATTTTTCCTCTCTGTATGTCAAAATTCTTACATATTAAAAGGAGATAAAATATATTATTTATAAAATGCTATGTAAGAGTTACTGGGTTAGGTGGTATTATATGAATATAAAATTTATCCTTGTTATTATGGTATAACTACTATGGGTTTTTTTTATTTATAAAGTATGCTTCAAGATATCACTATTTTAATTTCATCTCTTCCAAGCATATATATTGTTACTAATTCCATTTCCCACTCTGGTGATCTGACAGAGTGAAATCAGTAGCCATGATATTCTTTAAAAAAATTATTATTTTGAAATAAATTTCAGTGAATTTCAACAGAAACTCTATTCTGAAATCTGCTTTACAAAAAAACAGGACAAGTGTATTTTAACAGTTATACTTTAAGGCAGAAATAATAGATTTATGCACTGCAGGCCTAAATCTCTACCCTTCATAGTTGGAGGAGGGGAAGTGTAAGAGAGAGAAACAGAGAAAGAGAAAAAGAGAAAGGTTATGGAGCAGTCTTTATTATGGTTTTGACTTAAGAGATTCCACTTTTTCTATAAACATTTGTTGGTAACTAAAATTAGTCTCTTAGGAAAGGGATGAAATGTTATATGTTTATTGTAAGCTAATTAGCTGAGAATTAAATTTTGTCTTGTTTACTAATGCTTGTAGGAATTTGGGTGGAATTTGCTTGTTTCTTTACAGTATTATTTCTCAGAGACTTAAATTTTGTGTATTGCAATCATTTGTGATTTTAGATAATACTTGTTGAAAAATTGAAAATGGCAAAATTTATAGGTATCCATGGTTTAAACTACACTGCCAAGACATATCAAAAGACTACTTCATTGTAGATTCCCATAATTTGGTCAATCCAAGTGTGTTTGGCTTCAGTACAAGCCACTAATTCAAATCAGCTCCATCTGAACACTACAGTTATGTGTTTAAAAGTAAAATTAAACTTGGAGGCCATAATCGAGAGTTAAAAGATTGCTGAAGTAATACATACATCTTGTATAGTTATTGACTAAGAGTACATCATTCATTTAGTGTGATTCAGAATGATCCCAAAAGTATGTAAGCCATTCATTTTTTAGACTGCAGAGTTGGTTAAATTGCATTGCACTGAGCTAAAGTTATGTTGAAGTCTATTGAATTTCTACAGAGCATCCTGAACTAACATGCACAGCCCTCATTCACTTTCATCTTTGTAGCCTTAAAAAGATGTCATTTTAAACTATATGTAAAGTACTGAACATAGCAATTTTATTTGCCTACTAGCTTCCCTAGTTCTTAAAGGTGGACACAACAAAGCTTAGGAAAGTGGATGATGATGCATTCAGGAATTGTAGATAGTAATAAAATTTGAATAGTTGGCATCACAGCTCATTCATAGAAAGTAACATTCTTTTTACAATTAGAGACTTAGAGTCTTCATATTTAAAGTCATTCCAGAGTTTTGACTGCAAATGATTGAGAGTAATTACCCTTTTTGGTGATTTTTTTTCTTTTTAGTATCCAATTCACCGTGGTAAGTGATCCTCCAGAGGATGAACAGGATCTTGAGTGTGAAGATATTGGCATTTCCCATGTCAGTCTCATTGAAATATTTCAGGAAAAAAAAGACATCATTGAGCAAAATATTGATGGTAAGTATAGAGATATGGCTTAGTTTTTTGGTCATGGATAACATTTAATTTCAATATTTTAGAATTTTTTTTTGGCTAAATATAAGAATATTGAGTAACACAACCTAAGTCCATGCTTTGCCTAGTTATAAGGGTTTCTTCCTTTTCTATGAAAAATTGAAGAATAATTGTTTGGCTTCATAAGGAATTATTGAATATTTAATGAACAACTTGGGAAAACTCTTCGTAGAGAAATTTCTTTTCGTCTTAACATTTAGTTTATGTAAAATTTAATCTTTCAGTCCTAACTTCCAGCTAAAATATCCTAAGTATATTGGCCTTAGTTAGGAAAAATTCCTTTGAAAACCCTCCCTTTGGGTATGCTAAAGGTTGTAATCACTTCAAAACTCCCTCAAGGGCAACTAAAATTAAAAAGACATAAGGGGTATCTCTTAAAATTTGTTTTCATGGGTTTTAACATTTCTGTTCATGACCCAGCAATTTATTAAAATCGGTACCTCTGTTTTCTCCTCTCTCACTCTTTTCTACAGTCTAGCTTCTAATTCTCATAATTCAACTGAAACTCCTTTCTCCAAAGTTACCGACTATCTCTTAATTACCACATCTAATGATCTTTTCTCAATTCTTGTTCTTTACCTTTTCTGCAGTTTAACAGTGTCAGTACACTTTTCTCCTTGACACTTTCTTCTCTGTAGCTATTGATGATACTGCAATGATACTGCCCTCTCGTAGTTCTCCTCCTTCGTTTCTTAGTCTCTTTTGCTGGAGCTTCATCTAAGTCATTTCTGCTAACTGAAGGTATCCCTCAATACTGTGCTAGACCTTCTTTCCTTGTTCTTATATAGTGTTTGTCTTGGTGATTTCATCAAGGGCCATGGATTCAATTATCATCTCTGTGCAATTGATTCTCAGATCTATTTACCCAGCTCTAACCTTTCATCTGACCTTTGATCACACATCTCTTAAACTGCATGCTGGACATCTTCAAGTGAACGTCTTATATACATCTCAAAGTCAATATATACAAAACAGAATTCAGTATCTTTCCCCCAAAACTCTTCTAAATTTTTCTGTTACTGTTGAGGACAGCATCTTTCTAATAAGCCAAGCTCACAATCTCTGTATCACCCTCAGCTGCACACTGTCATCATAATACATATCCAGTCAGTTGCCAGGTCCTGTCATTTCTGCCTTCACAACATCATTCATATTCACTCCTCTAACACAGCTGCCACCCCAGTGTAGGACCTCATCGAATAGCCTTCTTGTTGGTCTCCCTAGCTCAAATGTCTCCCCACGTCAATCCATTCTCCACTCAGCTGCCTAAGTGATCTTCCTGAAGTACAGGTCTGACCGTGTTACCTCCCTACTCAATAAAATCCAGTGTCACCTCCAGGATCAAATGTAAAACCCTCTTTTTGGTTTTTAAAGCCCTTCACAACCTGACCCCTTCCTCTTTTTCTGGTCTTCTTTAGTCCCTTCCTGTTACTCTGTAATCCAGTGACACTGGCCTCCTTGCTGTTACTTGAACAAGACACTCCATCTCCTGATTCCATGCCTTTTCATGGGGTGTTCCTCATGTCTGCAATGTTGTGTTTTTGTTTTTTTTTTCTTGTTGCTGCTTCCTCGCTTTCCTGGCTTCCTTCAAGACTTACCTTAAGTCAGCCTTCTACAAGAGGCCCTTACAGGTTCTCCACCATCCAGCCCTTTCTCCTACTAGTGACTTCTCAGATTCCCTCCCATTTGCCCTGTGTAGCTCTTGTGTACACATAGTTGTTTGAATGTTGTTGCTATCGCTAGAATGTGAGTTCCTCAAGAACTGAGACACTATTTTTGCCCTTTTTTGTATCCCCAGCACATAAAAGGTGCCTAGCACATAATAAATACTTGATAAATGCTTGTTGAGTGAGTGATTTCCCTCTTTTTTTGTGGGCCAAATTGATGGAATTGCATATTGTAAATAGAAGTGCTCATTTTAAAATCATAGGTAGGGCCATCCTAGGGGTATGCCAGAGGGGAAGTGGGGAGGGGAGTTGGGGGATGGGTGGGACAGGTTTTATCCCTACCTCACTTACCAGAGTTAGCAGAGCCTATAAAAAATGTGCATAGTTCATCCAGAAAGCTGCCTGTCCTAGGTCAGCTTTACTTACATCCAAAAAATTCATACATCAAGATCAGACCAAGTAATAAGATCTATTTTTTAATGGGCTGTTTTGATGACTCCCTCCAGTTGACAAAATTCCACCTTTTGTGGATAGCTTGAACTTTGCAAATAAAGACACTTCATACTCCTTTTCCCTCCATGGGATATCATTACGTTATTTTGAGTTTTTAATAACTAAACTTTCTTCCTCTTGCTGTTTCTTAATGGAAAGAAGTGAGAAGAAGGCTGGGATCCTCTTTTTGCCTTTCTTTGTATCCCCAATGCCCTCGTTAGCTTGAGGCCTTTTATGGTAGAGATAATAAACAGCTAATTGGGAGTATTCATGGATTAATATTAAGAGGAGTATGATTTAATGGTAAGAATATCAGATGATATTGTATAAAAACACTTATCTTATTGATTCTATCAGAGTGTACTTTATTTGAATGATGCAACATGTTCTTTCTTTACTTTTGCTTCTTTTTCATGGTAGCAACATAAAACTTCTCCTGAAAGCAGTGTTGATCTCTCCTTCCTTCATCCCTGTGTCCTGAATATCCTGCTTTTTCATTTATAATACCTATAAAGGGGGAAAACTCTTTTTTTTGTTGTTTATACTTTCATAAAGTTCAAAATTAGTAACTATGCAAGTTTTTTGCCATCATTTGACATTTTGGCATTTGTGTTAGTAGAAGTTGGCTTTTCATTATTGAATCCTGCTGCCTTTTAAAATTTTTGCCTCTTACCATAGGAGTTATAATACTATGACAGCTACAAAAATCTTCTTTCAAAGTCAGTGTAACCCTCGGTATTGTTAACTAAACAATAATGGGGAGGAATGCCATATTTAGGGATGGAAGTTATTCTGTATACAAGTATTGCATCCATTGGTTTCTCATAAATCTGCAAAAAAAAGTGTGTATGGCTAGGAATCAGTTACAAATATTTGTGTGTATACATAATATTTTGAGGCCAAAATAACAGGAAAAGTTGACTGAGTGGAACATATGTGTGTATGTGTACATATGTACATACATATGTAAAATTTCAGACTTACTAAAACCTCATTGGATTTTAGATTTAAATGGACAGTTTTTACCCAGATGGTGATTTTTAAATTGACAGACATTTCTATGGGACAATCTGTCCGAATTCAAATAAAAATACTAAACTTTGGAAATTGAAATTATTCCTGTTTTTCTCTTGTTTTCTCCCCAGTATTTGATGCACAAGTGGATGGTGAAGTAATTGGCAAGCTTAGAATAACAGTGGAGGCCTTGCATGCCCTGTACTCCATCTATGAGGAATACAGAGATGAATTGGAGACATAGAAATGTTCCTAAGGCATCACCTTCTCCTGAGTAAATTTTCCCATCGATGGCTCTTAGATGAGGCTTTTGTAATTACTACAGTATATATTTAATGTATAATTTATGCACAGTAGAGCCTGGGTTTGAAGTTGTAAAGTTTTGTATACTTTTTGATTTGTTTATTTTTCTATTCCCTCCATCCCACAACTGCTGTCCCCCAGGGTCTCAGCCCTCCATAGTGGCCAGCACCTTTTCAATAATTCATACCTACATGATGGCATGAGGAATACTCATTTGCATTTTTTGCATTTTCGTATGAAGAGCAAGAAGGCAAATCAGTTCCTTATTTTTAATAAGCAAGAAGCATGTCTTCGAAAACTTATGAAAAAAATACTTTTATGTTATCCCTAATCACCCAACTAAATGGAATGCTGTGATTAGCCTCATTAAGAGTTTTTTTACTGTGAAGATTTTATTAGAAGCAATATATGAAAATTACTTGGATTAATGTGTTAATCTTCCTCTTTAAAATGCTAATATCCATTTTATGCACATTAAAGCTCAGTATGCATTTCTTTGATGCATGCAGTTTCTATCAATTAAATATAAAGAATGAGACTAGCCAGAAGACTTATTAAATTACTGCAAGCTTGGGGGGGGGTTGGTCTTTTTTAAAAAATAACTTCACTCCTTCAGCTAACATTATTATCAGATATTTGTGATGGTAGTATAGAAAGAGGGATATTCGTGGATACATAAAGATATAGGTATGAGAAATTTACATTTTGAAAACTGGGCATCCTTTATAGAAAGAAAGTATTGAAAGCATGGCTCAGATTCCAACACGTTTAGTTAGAATGGAAGAGACAGGAAAGTATCTTTTTATCAATTTTAAAATTTACATCAAGCATGTATAATGCTTACTTGTATCTGGATAACTAGACCTAGAAAAGCAGCTCAGAAAGTTAATTTTCTAGCTTTTAACCAATCTCAATGAAGGATTTAATTGATATTTTTAATGGAGCTGTGAATCAATGCTGCAAAAGAATTGTCTCTAGAGGTCTAGGATATAATGCATTTCATTTTTTAATTTACTCTTTTATTTGTCATTTTCTTCAAAGGATTTTATAGGCTGTGGGTTTTCAGTGTTTGCAAACAGGCTATGTTCCTTCTTAAGCATATGTAAAGTATTCAGAGAGATAAGTAATTTATTAAAATCTACCTAATTTGCCGTGATATATTAAATCTCTGCTTCAGTGATCACAGACCATTTCATTTAGAGAATTAGGCATTCCCTCTTTGTGTGATTAAAGCTCTGGAAAATGAGTTCTTTGCTCCTATTTGTGAACATTCAAAGCCTGCTAATGGCAAGAAGATGGAATAGATTATGAGACAATTCATTACAGTTCAACAGCAAAAAAAAAAGAAAAAAGAAAAAAGCAGCTATAATGCAAAAATGCAAGTATGAATATCTGCATATACTTTGAACCATCTGTGCTCTAATGGCTTCAATAATGGTTCTTCATCTTCAGGAGACTTTGAAATTACATCCGTACAATATTAATTTGTTGATGTACATTTTAAAGCCAATAGAATATGATCTGACCACAGAAATCTATAAATTTTGCTCTGTACTGTTGGGCCTTTCTGTCATACAGCCTACCATCTCAAAGAGAAGCCCTGCTCTCTCATCAAAACTCTGCAAATCCTCAGAACAACTCATTCTTCTGGAACCTTCGAAAGACCACAAACATCTGCAGACTATACCACTCCAAACCTAGTAAACAGCCACATGTTTGTTGTCACTTTGGCTGGCTCTTAGCTCATCTTTTTGGCTATTCTTTCTAGCTTTCTTTGGCTTCATGCAGTTATATTGTCATTAAGGACCTTAATATTCCCTGCAGTAATTTAAAACAGCCACATTATTATGCACTAAGATCAACTGAGTGGTTCAGGACACTTATTGTGGTATTCTCCCAGGAGGTTTGTGTTATTGTTTTAATACTCTACAACCCAAACTAAATACCTTTCCTACAGAGAGAAGCTTATGAAGGACTCTTTGTGGTCTCTGAGCTGAGGTGGAAATTTTGATCAGGAAGCTGTATTCCAGAATCTTGTAACTCTGTTTACTTCTGGATACTGCACTTTGTGCTAATATCAGATATTTAGTTATGTCTTATTCATATTTATTAGAACATCACATCTAATCCTTCTGATCTAATTTGGAAATTTTCAACTTCAGCATATTCTAAATTAATTAAACATTCATCTGTGTAGCAGATTTAAAATCTGCTGCCATGTTTTTCAGTAGTTAGATTTTATTACTCTATTTTCATTAATATGTCAATTGACATTTATAACTTATATTAGGATATCTTTTTGCCTCTTTTTTTTATCCCAGTGTTCATTGAAATGTTCACCATCTATTAGATTCCAGTGAAAGTCCAGTCTCTAAAGTTATTTCTTATGAGTCAGCCAGACCTCAGCCATAGATGAGGGTTAGAAGCTAGCGAAGACCCCAGCTACACAGACAACGCAGCTTAAGGTAACACTTCTGTAAACGTTTGGCAATGGATCTAAATATAAACAGTCAGTGTGATACTTTGGATGTGGCCTATGCTTTCATTTAGATGGCTAAATAGAAATATGGTTTTTCTTTTTTTGTTTAAGTTCATATAATTTTGCCTGTTGTAGTAATATCACATTCCTAGCCTCCATCATAAGAAACAGTTGAGAAAAATAAGTTTTATAGCTAACAGTGTGGTTTACGTCAGGAACTTTTCTCTAAACTCTTTGCAGTAACACATTTTCTAAATTACCATAGTTTACTGCTGCTTAACTTATGTTAGTTTTTTAAGAATTAAGTGGAGAATATCTTTAATCAAATAAAGGAAGGCCCACATTGAAATTATACTGCTCCTGTTATTCATTCATTACCACAAAACATGAACAATTTCTGAATATTATGAAGAAAGTGTGGTCTGAGAAGTAGTCATGTGATTTGGGAAGCTCTGCATCCACCCATGTTCCCACAACAAAATATAAATTATTTTGGTAATCTGACATTGAGTTGTGACAATGAAAACCAGTTCTTACACGTGTTCTTACAAGAATCTGCTCAACTTTTTGTGGATTTGGAAAATAACTTCTTTTTAGTCAAACTGAAACTATTGCAGAATTCAGAATGATTTCCTTATGCGTTAGACAGAAAAATGTGAGTCAGTTTTGTGAACGAATATCAGAATAAAATGTCATCTTTGTAGAACAGAACCAACAAGGGAAAGCTTTTGGGATGTAAAACTATCAAGCAGTTGACAATATCAGTATGATAATTCATCTCCAACTATTAGAGTACATTTTAATAAGTCGCTCATGCCTGAAGGCCTCTGAGTGCCTTAACAAAGAAAAACCAAACACATGATTTATTGTAGATAGGGTGACATGCCTAATTAGATCCACGAATGGGAGCAGGCCCTGCTTTATATCCCCTCATACAGAACATAAACAATCTCCAGTGACACACCACAAATCTAAGCTGTAAGACAAGAGTTCTTTGAACTGACAAAATAGAAGAAGAAAACTTATACCCTTCCTCATCTATTTTGCTGAGAGAAAGGATTTTTAAATAGATATTTTCCATTTATAATTCGGTATGAGGGCAAAATTCAAGTTAAGAACTTTAACCTCCCCTTAAGATGAAGTCTCCAGAACTGGATGAGGCCCTAGAACAGCATCTACTCTGACTGTCTCATTTTACAGGAGAGGAAATTGAGAAACTGAGGCAGGAAGTGGTTTTCCAGCCTGAGTAGAGCGCTCTTTCCACTGTGCCAGACTCTGGGTACTATAGAGGCATAGAATGTTCACTCTAGAAGGGCCTTCCCCTAAAAGGGATGTGATGAAACCCAAGGTGGTTAAATATCATAAGTCATGACTAGAGGGACAGTTATAGAGAATATGGGGAGACTTGAATGAACTGATGCTAAATCAGGAGAATAATTTATATAATAACAACACTAGAAAACGAGCCATTCTTAAAGAGTTGAGAACTCTGGTTAATGCAGCAACTAACCATGATTGTAGATGCCTGATAATGAAGTATGCTGCGCAGTTCCTCATAGAGAAGTGATAGATTCAAGATTCAGAATGAGATGTATGGTTTGGGTATGGCCAATGCATATATTTGTTTTGCTTGACTATGCATATTTATTATAAGGGTTTTATTTTTCTTCTTTTATCAAAGTGCAGGGTGAGGGGAGGGTACTGTGGTATGGAAGTGGAAAAGAAAGTTCTTGTTAATCGGGGGGAAAAGTTCAAAAGAAAAAAAGTGATTAAGTGACATTCACAAGGTTGTACAGGGAGTAAGTGGCAGAATTAGGACTCAGACACAGACCTTGTCACCCCCAAACCAGTATTGCTTCCCCTATACCACAGTGCCTCCTCTCTTAAGCTGTGTAAGTATGATCTTCTAAATAACAGGAACCTGACCTCATTCTCTGTGGTGCATTTTGTTGTCGTCCTCTTGGCCCTGAATATGAATATATTAAATCATGCTTTCATCTCTATTTTTTTCCCAAAATCTTCCCTGTATTCTACACCTTAATAGCATGAACCTTTCCTCCTTCTGATAGACCTCTTCTGGTTAGTCCTATCCTTCAGTTTATTACACTTATTACCCTTATTACCCTTCAGTACCTTTTCAGTACTGCCACATTATGCCATATCTCAGTTATGGCTCTTCACTTACCACTGTTTTTCTTCTGCATCAGATTTGATCTCCTTATCCTCGGACTCTAAGTTATCTGTTGTTCTGTTCTCACCTATATCAGCCTAACTTTACCTTCTGGCCATTAATCCTTTCTTTCTCCTAACAATCCAAATATATTCTCCAACCTTATTTCTCTATGTCTTCCTTTTTCCATTTCTTGCTTCCTCCTGTGCTCCAGCCGACACCTTGGAAATTCTTCTTTCTACCACTCAAACAAGACACCTTCTCAATACTCTGTGAGGTTGTTCTTTAATCTAATATGACAGGGACTCACTCAATGAACCAGATATTAGAACAGCAGAGGGGACAGAAAATTGCTTTTATCATCTTTTAGCAGGTGACGTGCCTTAATCAAGGGCTCAGAAATTACTCCAAAAAATACCTGCAGGAACCTTGAATCACTGGTAAAGAATAAAAGAGAGAAGTTTTCAATCCAGAGTCAGCCCAAAAATATACAAAATATTAAATAAATCATCAAACTTAAGATTTTGAAATATATGTGGACATTGTCATAGTTGAGTGAGAACAGAAGCTACTCCAGACAGACACAATGTAATAAAATGGGATAAATACAAATAGTGAAGAAAAAGACATTATAGGGCAGGACCAGCAAGGCAATGCAGGCATCAAAAAAGTTAATATAAGATTGGATAAATTACAATTGTATATATTCTGTGGGAAAGGAAAGATAACACTTAATTCCTGGATTGCTTTGTTCTTCCCACGGAAATTGATGGAGATAGAAAGAAGGGGAAATGCCTGGGGAGAAGGGGAAGTGGCATCTTCTGTACCCCAGCATAACAGCAAAAAAGCTTCTGGTGATATATGAAAACAATGGTGTCCGTTGTCAATCATGTTGTGGAATTCTTCATCATCATATATATTATACACACACACACACACACACACACACACACACACACACACATGTATGTATAAATGACTAAGTCAAGGACTAAAACATACCCTGGAGAATATTTTTCTTGCCTAAATACATCTTCCCTAAGCACAGATCAAGAGCCCTGATTGCTTCTGACTACAGTAAAGGGTGATGGCGTACGGTACCAGAGATCATGTTTAACATTTATTTTTGTAGGGTCTCCCATCAAGAATGTGAGAAATCACTCTTCCAAGGCAAAACTCTCTCTTCATGAGGATTTCATGGGATTTGCTTCTGTTTGAAACCACTTTCTTGTTGCTAACTACAAGAATATAATCCCTGATACACAAAATACTAGGAATTATGACATCATTGCAGTTTGGCTTGGTCCTAGATGCTATTTTTTTACATTAACTTTGATAAATAAACACACATTTTCAAATAAAACTTAACATTTCACCACATTGTTACGGTTGTCAATTATGACCTTTGTAGGAAACAGGTAATCCAGACCTTCACTTATATTTTGAAAGCTGGCTTGACATAAAGCCCTTGTTAGTCATAAGATGCTATTCTAACCATATTTTATTAGCCTCATTGCTTCTAACTAGGGCTTCATCAGGCCAATGAGTTCCCAGGATCCCAGCTTTAGAACTGCTGTTTGGTGAGTATGTGGAGAAAGGGCTTAGAAGTCAGAGAATGTGCTTCTAGCTGGTGACTTGTTAAAAGAATGTTTTTATCATTAAATTTATCATTCCTGTGGTAAGGGCAGAGGGGTCTGTAACATGCCAAGGAAGACACTTAACCAAATAGTGAAATGTTTCAGTAGAAAATTGTTTCAAAAGAAATGAAGACCACCAGTTAGGAACTTTGAGGCTTTTCGCCCTTTCCTGGTGGCCTGTCCTGCATTTGAGAGTATTGTTAGGATCTATATACCTTGTTAAGAATATACCAGAAAAGGAACTTGATGGGGGAAGAATCATAAAAAGGAAGAATAACCAAAACAAATGAGTCAAGATCCTAACAAAGCTCCCATTTGACCCTCTCTTCCTTGGGATTCCTTTTATAAAATTGGGGGAAACTTCAAAGATCATCTAGCAAAACAAATCAATAATTTTTATTTGAAAAAAAAAAGATCATCTAGTACAAAACCGATTCTAAACCGTTAATGCCATTTTCCTATAACTGGCAGTTCACTACCTAGGCGTTTCATTCATATTGGACTATTCTCATTGAGAGATTTTTCCTTAGGTTGAACCAAAACCTGTCTCAGTCTGCCATGAAGCGCCAAGCAGAAGAATTATAATTCCTCTTCCACATAACAACTTTGAAAATATTTGCAGCTTGCTACATCTTTTGTTCTAGGCATTCTCCAGTTGCTTCAGCCAGTCTCAGGTCTCTTATTATGTGGTTTCAAGTCACCTCATCATCCTTTTGGCTCTCTACTTTACTAACTTCAATTTGTCAGTGTCCCTCCCTAAAATGTGCCCAGAAAAAGACAAAACTCTATGTGGGCAAAATGCAAGTAGACCAGTACACCCCTTTACTCTCAACCCTATTAATGCAGCCTAAGTTGATACTAACTCTTTTAGCTCTACATCACACTGCTGACTCATATTGAGTTGTGGTATACTAGAATTTCTAGGTCCCTTTCATCTGAGCTGCTTCCTAGAGATGCCTGTACTTATGCATTTTTTTTTAAACCTGAGTGTAGGACTCTATATACCCACTGATTTCATGTTGTCATTATTATTATTATTAAGCTTTACACCATCATTTTAGCCTGTCAAGATCTTTTTGAGCATATCATCCAATGTATTAACTATTCCATTCAGCTTATGACATCCATGAATTTGATAAGCTTGTTTTATCCAAATCATTAATAAAAATGTGAAATGTAACAGCCATGGGAATAGCTTACAATTTGAGGAACAAGAAAGTGTTATATGGCATCTCTTGGTCAAGGAACTCCCACTTCCTGTTATGTTTGGCCAGTGTATCTAATGGCTCAAATTCCAGTACGGGACTCCCTGAAACTACCAAATACAGTTTCATGTGAGTGCAGCTACCTACAAAATGATGCCTGTATTTCTGCATTGCCACAGTAGTAACTTCCCTTTAACGCAACCTCGTATTAAACTCCTCAAACCATAGAGAATCATTGATAATAATCAACTTCCACCATCTTGGGCAATATCAATGCACCTCTAGTCAATTTTAATGGGCGCTGTGAACACCTACTAGAAACTGCCTCAAGTTAAAAATC